TCCGGGAATCTCAGAGGTGAGCATCTGAACATGTGTCCCCCATCCTCGCCAAACACAGTACAAATTACAGACCACTGTTCACACTACAGTCACAATGGGAAATGCTAAACAGTTTTCTGACTACATTAGAGACATAATTGATTTTTTTTTTAAGTGAATTCAGCTGTAACAGCTCAGGACACAGTCAGCTGCAGGTTCCAGCTCTCACTGCAGCTCTTCTCCCAACTAGCCCTGGGACCTCGGACCAAGTCATGTCACCGCTGCGGGCCTCCCTCTCCCCATCTGAGAGCTCTGAGATGCTGTGGGAGGCAGCATGGCGCTTTGAGTCAGAAAACTGGGGTTTCAGTCCTGGCTGAGAAGTGGCATATTCAGTTCCTTTATTTTTATATTACTTAGCCTCTTGGGGTGCTACAGAAGACTCTTGGGAGTCCCTTGGACAGCAAGGAGATCAATCAGTCAATCCTAAAGGAAATCTACCCCGAATATTCACTGGAAGGACTGGTGCTGAAGCTCCAACACTATGGCCCCTGATGTGAAGACCTGACTCATTGGAAAAGACCCTGATGCTGGGAAAGATTGAGGACAGGAGAATGGGGTGACAGAGGGCAAAATGATTGGATGGCATCATCGACTCAACAGACATGAGTTTGAGCCAACTCAGGAGACAGCTAAGCACAGGGATGCCTCGTGTGCTGCAGTCCATGAGGCTGCAGAGTTGGACACGACTCAGCAACTGAACATCGACAGCAACAACCTCTTCGGGTTGTAAGAGGAACTACTGAATACATTGACTCTGAATTCCCTTCAGTCGCAGCTGGAGTTACTTTCTCCCCAGGGTACCCTTACCAATGCTGAATTTCCCCCATTCTGCCATACCCACTAGGATAAAAGCAATGCAATTAGAAACCACATCTTTGACCACAGGTCCATTTCAACAGCTGCGGCTATGAGACAAGATTAAGAATTAAGAGAGTCTAAAGGTACAAATGCCATGCACAGCTAACATCCGAGTCAGATGCACAGTCAACGCCCCACTCCCTGAGAAGAAACATTTTCCTATGTTATTAGGACCAGCGAGAGCACAACCCCATAATAATCAGCCAACAACGTCTTAAAAATCCCCAGCTCTGCAGTTGGCTGCATCGCCTGCCATCAGAATCAACTTAGGAAGTTGATTTTAAAAGAAGCTGAGTGATATTTCCAGTTTGGAAAAGGAAGAAAAATCGACTCTTCTATTTGCAGCTCTACAAGGAAACTGTGACACCCGGCTCCACAGGGAGGTGTTGTCAGCCGCAGCGGGGAGCCCCACGCAGGGCACAGCGGACTCGAATCACTGTGGCCCCGCAGACCCCGACAGGGTTCAACAAGGAGCGCTCTCCTGCCTGGCAAAGAACGGCAGAGGCGCACACCTTCCTTTGTGGGAGGCCATGAGGTTTGGAGGAGAAGGAAGGTTTTTGGATTCAGGTGACTCCCCCTTTACTTCATAGTTTTGTGACCCTGGGCAAGTGACTCATCCTCTCAGGCTCAATTTTCTCATGTGTAAAATGGGACTAATGATACCCAATACTATAGGGTGGTTTTATGGATTAAGTAAGAGAATGTCCTTGGCTCAGCTGGCAAAGAATCCACCTGCATGCAGGTGACCCCGGTTCAATCCCTGGGCCGGGAAGATCCCCTGGAGGAGAGAATGGCAACCCACTCCAGTATTCTTCCTTGGAAAATCCCATGGACAGAGGAGCCTGGTGGGCTACAGTCTACGGGGTTGCAAAAGTTAGATATGACTGAGCAACTAAACCACCACACTTAAAATACCCTAAACACAGCAGATGATCAGGAAATGTGGGCACAGAGAGAACTGAGATGACTCTCTGCAGAGGGAAAAAGGGCCTGGGAGAACTTCCGCTTCAGCTGGAGTCGGTCAAGACTGCCCCTGGGGCCCAAGGTGGGCTGAGGGGGCCCTGTGGTCCCTGCCACACCTCTCCCGGGGGGGTGAGGAGGAGTCACAGGGGGAGCTGACAGGGGTCACCAACTCTCCAGGAGAAAACTCAGAGAACCTGAACCTTCCAAATAAGCACAGAGCATTCCCGAACACTTGTGGGCACCAGGTGAGCATCCCTTACACCCTCTCTCAGAATCTGGGACATCTGCTGAGGCCACCAGTGGCATGAGCCCAACATCCAGTTATCAGAGACCCCCCCCAAAACAATGATGGGGATAAACCAGGCAAGTGGGGACTAACTATGATGACCCTGAAATGGAGCCTGTATTACGCTGGACCCTTGAAACACATTCAACAAGGCAGAGAGAGAGAGGGGCTGGATGACTCCAGAAGCTTCATCTAAGCTCCAAAGGGTTCCCAGTCCCTTGAGGGTACTACTAGGGTGCTAGGCTGGGACAAAGTCCTAGAGAATGCTGTTGAGAGCCAGAGATTTCAACTTTGTATTGTGGCTCCTAATAACGTCTTCGCAAGTGACAGGACTGGGGCCAAATAAGCACTAACAAAGCCATTTACTGTAGCTTTTCTATTAACAAAATGAACCATCTAGGCCTTTTCTTCCACCTGTTCCTGCATCTACCTATCACATGCATTTCAGTAGATAAAATTTGAGTACACCTACTAAAATATTTTTCATGCTTCTTTATAAGAATATATATTCTTCCATATACCCCAGCCTCAAATGAGAATTTTTGTTTTAGACACTAAGTATTCATCACAGAGTTCAGAGATCTTTGGGGGGAAAAGAACTTCCAAGTATTTAAAGTACAGAAACAAAATTGAACCCTCAGGAACAGCCCCACTTAGATTATAAATGACTTAGAAAAACAAGACCCATAGGGTCACTAGTTTCCTTTCTTTTCTTCCTCAATCACAACCCTTTGGGCCAACTAGGAAAAAAAAAAAATCTTTCCACTCAGTTTCTACAAAAGCTATAAATCCAGAGAGGAATTTAGGAGAATCTGAACCCCAAAGGTCCATGGCATGGCCTTCCACTCAAACTCTCACTGAAAGACTTCCATGCTACCAAACCTCTAGTTTTGAGCTGTTAGCTACAAAAGCTGGCATGCTGATTCTGTCAACTGAGCAGGAACCAATCACATGATGGAGAGTTATAGCCGGCTAACCTTCCCACATGGCAGGAAAGCTCAGGAAGCAGGGAAATTCTTCCTAGGAAGATGATTCCTACTCCTCTGTGCTAGAAAATACCAATATGCCTGGGGTGTTTGGACATGGCGTCATTGCACCCAGGGTCAGCCTGGGATGCAGAATGTATGAGGATGGAGGAGCAACTGATCGGACAGTTCGTGCATTTTGAGACTTTGCCTGCTCAGAGCCTGGGGTCCACTCTCAGCCCTTAAACTCCCTTCCAGTCCCACTGCGGCCCATCTGAAAAGACTCCAAATGTTACTTGTCTGCTGATGACAGCAGCTGGGTTTCGGTGAACAGACTCTGTACACTTGCAAGTAACCACCTCAACAGCCAACCTCAACAAATATCCTATGTGTGGAGAAGAATTAAGAAAAGGAAGTAATAGGATAAGTCCTCATTTTCAAAATGTATTTGACTTGAGCTTTCTTTCAAGATCAGGCCTGAATTCCTAAGAGGGATTTTAGTGACAACGGTGGTAGAGAGCATTTATAAACATGTGTGTGTCTGTCCGCCTCTGGTTGTTCCCTCTGGCACTGCCTGCTCCAAGCCTGCAGTTTACCATCTCCAATAAAAGCTCGGTAAGCAGAGGGCGTTAAGATAAGAGGGAGAGGAGGCCAGGGGAGGGAGAAGATGTTTTTCCCTACATTAGCTTTCTCAAGCCTATGCAAACTATACACCTCAGGGGGTTCTAAAATAATGTTCTTTGTTGTCCTTCTGTTTTAATACCTAGTCACAATTTTTCACTTTTTTGATGCGCGAGAGCAAAGGTCAAAACTAAGGAAAAGAGCCTTGACATTTTTCTACCTCAAATGGAAGAGGATTATATCTGCGTGAACCTGAAGGCTTCCCTTTTAAAATCCGCAAAGCCGGGGACTCTCCTGGGAGTCCTTCCCCAGCCTGCCAGGAGAGACAGGTGCAGACCTGGCTCACTTTCCCTTCTGCTGGGAACTTGTCCCTGCGAGCCTGGAGCTCAAGGCTGCCCCCGGGCCTGGACAAAAGCCCAGGAGCCTGTGGTCAGACCCACACCTCAGTCCTGCCGTCTCCTCGGTGCTGTGAAAGGACCATGTCAACACTGCACCGGAAACAGTCACAAGGTGGGTCCTTGTGGGCTTTTAATCCTGACACATCCAAAGGGAAATTTTCTTCTCCGCCTTGTCTATTTTTGGTGCCCTTGCCCTCACCTTTTGGCTCCAGGGAACATGATTCTCTGCTGGCCCTTCCTGGCACTCCTTGACCTTGCCTCAGGCCAGTTAAAGGGCAACAAGTCAATTAGGAAGACACCTCCTCCCTCCAACTTCTGGGGCCCAGCCTTCAGGAAAGCTGCCTACTTTGCTACCAAGTACTTTATCCCCGACAGACCCTGTAAGTGGCTTCCTGGAATCTGAACTTTCTCTTTAGCCACCGATACCCATCTCTCCCCAGACCAAGGGGCTGGCGTGGCCACCTAACCATGCGCCTTCTAATGCCCGCTGAGCTCGCCTGTTGGATTCAGGGGCCCTGACTGCGCAGGGGCCTTTGGCTTGCAAAGGAGGCCAAGAGGACGTGGGGTAGGTGGAGGGGGGTGGGGGGGGGGTGGGGGGAGTCCGCAGGCGATGAATGTGGTGCAGAGGCCAGCCAGCCCTCCCGGCTGCTCACAGTTGAAGGGCAGCGGGAGGCAGCCCCCGAACACAGTCTCGACTGGGGCCCCTCATCCGGGTAGGGGCTCGGCCTCCCGGACCCCTTTCCACGTCCCGGCCCCCAGACTCCTGGAGACCACCTCCCCCTTCCCCCCACCCCCACCCTCCGGCTGGCGGCCTGGGTCACGCCGGGTCCCCAGTCCGGGGCCCCCCCGCCCCGGCCCCCCGAGTCCGGGCTAACAGTACAGAGACACCCTGCTGCGCCGCATAGCCTCGCTGATCAGGTAGGCGGGGCTGAGCTCGGGCTCCTCCGTCATCACCGCGATGTTCTGCCACTCGCCCGTCTGGCTGGACCGCTTGATGGTGTCCACCACGCACAGGGCGTAGAGGCAGTCGTCGAAGGTGGCGGCCATGGTGAGCGGCCGGCCGTCCCACGTGCGCCGATCGTCCTGGTCCTGGAAGGCCTGGCGCACGGCCTGCATCATCTTGATGGTGCCACGCAGGTACGGCGACGGGATGTCGCTGAAAGCCTTCTCGGGCAGCAGGGAGTTGCTGACCGGCGTGGCGTCCCGCACCAGCAGCTCCTGCTCCGGGGCGCTGTTGCGCTGGCCGTACAGGTCCGTGCCCACGGCCAGGAGGCGCCCGGCCGAGCCCACCACGGTCACGTCCTGCTTGAACTCGCCGGGCACGTTGAAGTTGAGGGTGACAGTGCAGCACACCCCGCCCTCCAGCACCATCTGGAAGGTGCAGAAGTCGTCGCTGGTGATCTGGCGGATGCCCCTGATGTGGTCGGTCTGCTTCACGAAGGTCTTGAGCAGCCCGTGGACCTTGACGGCCTTCTGGCCGGTGAGGAAGGTCAGCAGGTCGATGATGTAGGTGCCCACCGAGTGCAGCCCGCCGCCGCCCATCAGGTCGTCGCAGCTCCAGTTGTACTTCTTGCCCAGCAGGCTGCCGCCATGCACCTGCACCTCGCACACCAGCAGCTCGCCCACGTAGCCCTCCTCGATGAGCTGCTTCATGCGCACGAAGGCCGGCAGGAAGCGCAGCACGTTGCCCATGACGCTCATGAGCTTCGGGTAGTAGTGGGCGGCCGACATCATGCGGAAGGCGTCCAGCGGCGTGGCCGCGCGGTCGCAGATGACGTTCTTGCCGATGCCTGTGGATGGAGGACAAATAGTACATCAGGGTGCTGGCGCCGAGAGGCAGACAGGGGCGCTGTGGCCCCCAGGTTCCCGTTTATGAACCAGGAAGCGAATGCAACTACTTTTTTTTTTTTGGCAGTTTCTACTCTGTGTGTGTGTGTGTGTGTGTGTGTGTGTGTGTGTGTGCACTTAATCGTTCAGTCGTGTCTGACTCTTTGCTACCCCATGGACTGTAGCCCGCCAGGCTCCTCTGTCCGTGGAATTCTCCAGACAGATATACTGGAGTGGGTTGCCATGCCCTCCTCCAGGGGAATCTTCCTGACCCAGGGATCGAGCCCAGGTCTCCCGCATTGCAGGCGGATTCTTTACCATCTGGGCCACCAGGGAAGCCCAAGAATACTGGAGTGGGGAGCCTCTCCCTTCTCCAGCGGATCTTCCCCACCCAGGAATCCAGCTGGGGTCTCCTGCGTTGCAGGCAGAGATTCTTAACCAGGTGAGCCATTATTATCCTTTTTTAAAATTTTATCTTTTTAAATTTTTATTATTTTTAATTGGAGGATAGTTGCTTTACAACAGTTGTGTTACTTTCTGCCAAACATCAACATGAATCAGGAATAGGTATACATATGGCCCCTCCCACCTCCCACCCCTCTAGGTTGTCAGAGAGCACTGGGGTTGACCTTACTCTATGACTAGCTACTCTTATTACAATTTTAAAACATCTTATTACACCTTTTGTGCAAAAATAACATGTTCTATATATTTCAGTATTACTTTAAACATTCAAGTCGAATTACTTTAGTATTCAACTATCACAGTGATTCAAATATTAAGATTTATTTTCATACATTTAACTAGCCTATATTTTACAAATATTTTTAAATGCCAATATCAGGTGTTTCACTTAATATTTTATTTATATTAACCTGTAACATTTCATATATAGTTTTATTTGTAAAATTAAAATATTTAAATATAAAATGTTCTATTAAAGTAAACAATACAGGTTTTACATATAAAATATATTTTGTCAAAAGTTATCTTACATGTGAAATGTTTTACATATCTTTATTTGTAAAATATAATTTTTATTAAAAATATGTGTAGCAAAGAGAATAGTATTTTTATCTTGACAGAACTGGAATAAAGCTGAAATCATGGCCAATGTGAGTCTGATTAAGTATGAGGAAGAATTTCTTAATCACATACTTCAGAAGGCTAGGCTTTTACCTGTCTCCCCTACAACCACCAACAAAGGATTATCTTTTGTGTATTTTCTTTTTTATTTTGCATTACAGGTTAGGGCTGGCAGCAGTCACAGATGTGTTTGTTTAATATTTTCCAGTTCCTTATGAGAAGAGTGGATATTCCTTATATCTGAGACACGGCAGTGACTCAGCCCTCATCTTATCTGGTTGGGGGTGGACTGGGGGTGTTGGCGCCGCTGGCGATGGAGTTGAGACCAAACAAGACTTATGCTTACAGTGACTTAGCGTGCATGCACCATGACTATACTGGGTACGTAAGTTCCAGGGAGATGGACGCCCTTTGGGAAACTAAGCTGTTCTGGGTCAAGAGAAAATAAAGGATCAAAGGCTAGGAGAGTGACAGGGAGAAGAGGGTTTACTCCAAGATAAAGTCAAGGGTCAGGAAAGAAAAACTCAGCTGAACCTGGAGAAACAGTCATCTGGGAATTAAAAAAATAAAGTAATAATTTAAAAAATTATACAGATTTATTAGCAAGCCAGATTGGGGAGCTTCTGAGACAAGGCACCTTGCCTCCTATGAGGTCTCTGCTGTGCAGTCATGTTCTGCACATAGACACCCCCCCCCCCCCCATGGAGCACTCCAGCCACAGACGAGGGACAGGCCACAAGGGAGATGGCAGTCTTGACTACAGGAACCTGACTTGACAAAATCCATGAACACTGCCCCCCTTCTGAGCTAAGAGGGTCCTATGGAAGACTTACGACTGTGAGTGTCTATCTGGTGGAGATGCCTGGGCAAGGCTATAGGCACGTGGGGCTCTCATTTTCCCATTGGAAGAGCAAGCAGACCAACGGAAGTGCCCAGCACAGACTGGAGAAAACAAGTACAATCGGTGGCTGTCACTTTCCAAGTGCACATCAAATTCTGGCTGAAAGGCCTGGAGCCCACACACTAACCCCATCTCCTGGCCTCCTCTACACTGGCAGAGTTGGGCTGGCTTTCCTGATGACTGTGGATGAGCAGTAAGAAGCTTCTTGAACTCTGAGCAACCAGGTGAAGACTGAGGCTCCATCAGAGGGATAAAGAAACACTGGGCTGTGTTACCAAAAGTCCTGTGCACTTGTGTGACATCGTGTTCTGATAATGTGACCCTATCAGCACTGGACCCCTGCTGGCGGGAGCAGATTTCTATATAAACAGATGAGTAGGCCACCGCAGGTACAGGTGACAAAATGTTGCCAAAATCTGCCTCACACCTGTTGGGTACAAGCTGTGGCCACTCCCACACCCTACCTCATGGTCTGCAAAACCAGGATCCCCGATGGCCATCTTCTCAGCTACCGGTCATATTAATGACACATGAAAAAAGAAGTTTACCGGATTTTTCTACTCTTAAGAACTATAAGATAAAATAGTAAAAGAAAAAATAAATTGAGAAAAATAATCCACTCCCCTCCACATACCCAAAGCAATCAACTCATGGGTAATTCTTTGAAGCTTTGTAGATGAAAAGATACTGATGAAAGCTATTGACTCCCTTTCCAGAAAAATGCATGCATGGGTCTCCCAAGATCCTGAGATACAGGCATCTCTTCCTTTGGGCTATTTAAGCATGTTGTGGTCCTACAAGAGACAGCAGGTTCCTCAAGGATCAAGGTTGGGCCTTCTAATTTCTTAGGTCTCCATGATGCCCACAGCACCTCAGCGGCATGTGTGTGTGTGTGTGCCAGAAACCAGTGAGCATTGCTGCCTGGCCCCACGTCCTTTTCAATGTCCACACTTTACAGATGGGTCTTGGCAATGTCTTAACACACAATACTGTATCTTCAAACATCAGAAGAGACTTCTAGGAATCTGTCATAAAGAAATCCTCTAAAATGCGACCACAGCTTCTTGCCCAAAGATGCCTCTCACTGCATTATTTATTAAAGTGAAAAGCTAACAACAGTGCAAGTGCCCAATGATAGAAGAATGTATAAGTAGGCTGTAATACAGCCGCATAATGGAAGATTGTGCAACCATTGAAAGTGATGCTCATAAAGACTTTTTAGTGACAAGCAAGATGATTATGAGGTCATGTTAAGTAAAAGGGCTCTATTCATAGACATACTATGATTTCAACTCTCTCTTAAAAGGACAAAAAAGAGGATACCTCAGAATGTTTACAGTGGTTAATTAATACAATCAAGACAGATTTTTATTTTCATTACCATTTTCTAAGTTTCTATCTTTATGGTCAGAGAAACATTGGTTTTTTTAAGGGCCAAAGGAGTCATAAAGACTTCACGTGATGGCAGAAGGGCCCTTCAAAGCCAAAGTCCCAGAGCTCTCGGACCTGCCCCCGTATACCCAGGGAGCTGGGGGAAGCCCCAGGGGAAGCCCCACCCACCCTGAACTTGTGATGCTGCTAAGGCTCAGGTTCCGTTGCCACTCTTCCCGTCCATTTTCCCAAGACTTCATGATTCTGGTGATGGCTATGTACTCTCCCCATAAGATCAATTCGCAAAACTGTACCCACATCCCTAGCTCATGGATGGCCCCCATCCATGGATAGGTATCTCCATCCTAAGTTATAAGATAACTCCTGTGCTGTGCTTAGTCGCCCAGTCATGTCAGACTCTTTGCGAACCCCATGGACTGTAGCCCACCAGGCTCTTCTGCCAATGGAATTCTCCAGGCAAGAATACTGGAGTGGGTTGCCATGCTCTCCTCCAGAGGATCTTTCCCACCCAGGGATTGAACCCAGATCTCCTGCATTGCAGGTGGATTCTTTACCATCTGAGCCACAGGGGAAGCCCAAGAATACTGGAGTGGGGAGCCTGTCCCTTCTCCAGGGGATCTTCCTGACCCAGGGATCGAACCTGTGTTGCAGGCGGATTCTTTACCAGCTAAGCTACCCAGGAAGCCCTGTGGAAGCCCTTATAATGTACTGGGTTCTTTTTATGGGACTACAGTTGCTTTACAGTGCTGTGTTAGTTTCTGTTATACGAAGTGCATCAGCTATATATATATACATATATCCCCTCTTCTCTGGATTAATGTTAAAAAAAATAAGATAATGCTTCCAACTTCAAGGGAACCCCTAACTCAGAGCTAGCAGACCCCTCACATACCTATAAAGCACAGTTTATTTTCTCTCTTTTACACAATCTTTCCTCAACCCTACTTCTTGGTGGGGCTTCTAAAAAGTCCACTCTGGGACTCCTCCCTCAAGGTCCTTAGGTTTTCTTGGCCTTCTTTTCTTCCCCATCAAAGTCTGCCCTTCCAAAATGCGCAGAACCTGAAACTCCAATGTCCTTAGCAGTTTAACAAGAATCGAGGACAAGGCTGAAGGAATAGCATTCTCACCGTGGACTTGCAGTCATCAGATACTGTGTGTGTGTGTGTGTGTGTGTGTGTGTGTGTGTGTGTGCGTGCGTGCGCGTGCATCCGTGTGGCACAGAGCATTCCCCTCACCCCCAGAATCATGTGCCATGCGAAGGGAGCTTGTGTCATCTATGCAGAGGGGTGACACAGCCCACAGTCTGGTGTGTCGATGCCGCTGAGTGTGTGGAGGGATTTTTCCCAAAGAAAGCAGACAGGTCCCTGCCTTCCAAATCACCCCTGTCAGCCTGGGCTTTGGGTCTGGTTCTCCAGAAATAACTATAGGTCTCTGGAGTCTTCTTGATTTTCATGTCTTAGCACCTCGCCTTTCTCGCCACTCCCAGAGAAAGTGCTAGAATGGGCTCTTGAGAAAAAAGCCTTCCCCATTTTGTGTTAGAAAGGAAATAATAAGTAGAGGCACCTCCCTAAGGCTGAGGCTCTG